TATTTTGACTTATTTGGACCTAAAACAAAGGATGGAACTTGCCACACTTCTTAGAACACAACTATTGAGTTTTTCACTGATTTTTTTCACAAAACCATTCAACTATTGTGGTAGCTGGATTAACACATCATCCATTACCCTTAACCAACACTTCCCCATCTCAAAATTGGTGTCCAACAAAATAGGTTTCAATACTTCAACATCTTTGAAATAGAAATTTTTTGCATTAACCCATCAAGTTTTAAAGACGTGTCTAGCCTCAATGCGTTATAACTATTCATGCACATAATAATTTGAAGAAACAAATTTAACAATTTGAAAGTTATATGCATTACTATTATAATCCAACCCACACTTTACTTTGTTGAGTTCTCTAAGTTATATAAAAATATTAAATTTATTCTCTAATGTATCATATTATCATGTGCATATTTTGGATGTTTTTATATGGACTAGAATTTCGTGATATGATCTGGTCTTTTTAAGTATTGTTTGATATGATATGAACTAGTCTGATCTTGTCTAATCATTGTTCTACAAACGCTATAAGTGTCCGACTAATCCCGGTCTAGGCTAGGTGGTGTCTAGCGCCCCAATTTAAGTCTTGCGCTCCGACTAATTGGTTTGACGTCTCGGTGAATTTGTCATTCGCCTACAATGCCTGATTACTTGCCCATAGTGCTTAATCAACCGCCTAGAGAGTCTAGATTCACGAAACATTTTTTATTTCATTTTTGAGAGATATGTTCATTTAACTTTAAACACGCTTATGAAGAAAGCTACTTGTAGATTAAGATAAAAACTATATATATTTGTGTGTGTGTGTATACTAGTTATTCACACACGCGTTGCGCGATTATATAAATGCGCAATGTATTTTTTTCAAAATTTATATGTTTTACATTTTAATTTGAAAATGATTTTTAAGAGTGCTTGTCAAATTGAAATTTTAATAGTTTTGTGACATTTGGTGAATAGACATCGTTACATGATCAGAACCTCCTTGAAGGAACACTCAAAGACTATGGACTTTCTTAGGCAGGTTTTGCATACATGATGAAGTTGTTGTATCCCGAGTAATATTATAATTAACATTATATATCCAGTCACTCACTTCTTTTGAAGAAGTTTCATACCAATGAAAGCCACAATCCAGCTAAACAAAGACCCCAATTGTAATAGACATCGGTCCTGAGTTCAAAGAAAGACGAAAAGTTGAGTGAGGTTAGGAAGTACTACATACTACGTAACTATTACTCCTCTAAGTATAATGTAACGCTCTGATATGAACCTTTAGTGGAAGTGGATTAGCTGGAATATTTAAAAATATAATGCTATTAAAATCGAGATCTTTGACATTGCCATATCGTGAACATGTTAATAACTCTTAAGTTCTTATATGTTTGCTCCATGCTTTTAAATGCATTGAATGAATATGTTCCAGATTTGATACCCATAACTTCATATGCCTATACAATATTGGAAGTCATTCAAGCATCTTTAAGACTATACAATAGCGTTGCACATTATATGTGCAACGCTATTTGTCGCTAAAGAAACCAAACACTTGCCTTTTTAGTCCATCCCAAAATTATCCCAATTTAGAGAAACATTATGTAGTTTATTTTATTTTCTTAACTCGATTAAAAATCTATTACTTCAGTAGAAATAAACATACTTCAAGAGTAGAACTTTCTTTCAATTGCATCTATTTATGGCTCTTTTACTTTAATATATCCTAATAGAATCCATAAGTCAGATTAAAAAAAGAAAAAGAAAAGGATGTCCAAACAATGAGGTACCTTCCCAGTTCCCAGAAGTATTTACTACAAGAAAATGTTTGGAGTTTTTTTTATTGGAAAGGTCCTTTGATGTAAAGAAACTGTGGTGTAAACCATCATAATGTGCCTGCATATTCCACTTCATGTCTTGCCATATTTCCCGAGCAAAAGAACAGTCTGCATTGACACCACCATCAGTATGATTAACAATTACTTCAGTTGGCGAAACAACGCCTCTGAGCAAATTTGAAGGTATAACATAGCCCTGGTGAACAATCCAGAACTTAGGAAGCACATTATTACTCACAGTTAAACTGGGTTTTGGGGTACTCAGACCCTCCTGAACATCAATAAAGTAATCTGGAGTATGAACACACTCAGAAACATTAATTCCAAAACCTGCAAAGTACTCTTCTACCCTCTTAGTTGAACCATGGTAAACTATAAGCTGAATGGTTAGATCAGTTTTTTTATGCATGCACAAAAACTTTTGATCATTTTTTTTTTTGCCTTTTTTATCACAAAAAATAACTACACTATACAATCATTCAAATATTCACATAAACCCGATACACCTAAACTTCTCACATAGGCATATTTACAAACACTTAGTATGTTTCATTCTTACAAATTAAATTCATATTGCATCTCTTAAACCTCATAATTTCATAAGAAGTCTTAGTTAGGTTTACTCACAAATATCTGGCATGCTACAAAAATACTAAACCTTCATATCATCAAAGTGTGCACATGCTTTAAAATCAATCGAGATCATCAACTAACCAAACATATAATGAGGTTAAAACATATAAGTCATGACACACAATGAGGTTATTCAGATGTGCTACTATTTGATCTTGATCAAAACAAAAAATACATCAAGTTTCTAGAGACAATAATTTAACAATACTTAGTGGAACTTCATATACATGGCATAGCAGAACTTGATAGTCAACCAAAAAGGCTAACATACCATACTACGAACAACATAAGTCTTTCTTCTTCTTCTCTACAAACCCGAAAAATAAAACAACACACTTCTAGTGTGAATTGGGTTTCAGTATTAAACATCAAATTATTAGCGCAAGAGTTGAAACTGACCTTACCTGTGAGCTGTGAAAACCGGACCTCTACCATGTCGCTCAGGATTTACCCCTGCTTGAAATTTCGCTGCCCCAACTGAGGCACAATCACGAGGGTGATTGAACCAACACTTGGAACCATAGCTGCAAACGCCGGTTCACATGCGCGCCCTGAGAAACTTCCCAGGGGGTCACCCATCCCAAGACTACTCCCGAGCAAGCACGCTTAACTTTGGAGTTCTTAGGTAATGAGCTCCCTTAAAAGGAGATGCACCTCTGTTGGTATGAGTAGTACTATTAATCCGTTTATATTAAATCTCAAGTGTTACATGTACCCTTCTCTGCCCCATATCCCCAGCCTCTGCATTGATTCTTCAAGATCTGTTTCTGACCCAGGCGGAGCCCATTCCGCGCCCATATCTGGATGCGACCTGTTTCAGATATCGCTCCGTCCGTACACCCCTATAGTTGTTGTAGGTTTTTTCCAGTTGAGGCAGCTTCTTCGGTAGCCGCTGAGAGAAGAAGGCTGGTGCAGGGTGTTTGAAACTGGGAGGTCGTTTGACGTTAGAGTTAAGAGAAGCAGATGAAGGGAGCCATTAGACGGCAATAAAACGGGAGAAGAAGTTCTGTTAGAAGAGTACAAATATTAAAACACAGTGCACAACCTCATAAAGCTTTAGGGTTACACCAACATTTTTTTCATCCCTAAAATGCCCTAACCCTCATTGTCTATTATAAGATTTTAAGATTAAGATATACTATCTATATATTCTTAATTTTTTAATATATCATATTTATTACATAATGAAGTTAAGTGAGTAGTTATAATATACGTAGTATTATTAAATGTGATAACTTTATCATTCATGCCTATTTATGTGTATGTGCGTTTTTTTAAACACACACAAACACAATACCTCGTATTACTTATCATATTTACGAAAAGTTATTGATAAAAACATAATTTCTATGTGTCTAACTAGTCTCAACCTAGGCGTCAACCTAGTCGCCTAGGCGCTAGTCGGGCGCCAGCTTAGTGCTTAGCGCCTTTTAGAACATTGAATTTGATAGATGTATGATGTGTGTGTATTTTATAAGTGTCGAAGTTTGGTATGGTTTGACATGTTTAAGTCTAGTCTGTTCTGCTCTCCTTTGGGACTGAAAACATCCTCTACTACTCCTTCAATCCCTTACTTCTTCCGTCTCTTAAAACTTTAACAAGTTTGAATGACATATGGATTAATAAAGTAAAAACTGTGTAGTTATAGTTTTCGGAGAGGAGAGAGAATTAATTAGAACCACAAATTCTTTGCTTAAAAGAGAAAATGATAAATATAGTGGAATAACTAAAAAATGAAAGTTTTAAGGGACAAAGGGACTGAGGGAGTATAATTTATCATTTGACAAATACAAAGAATATTATAAAACAAAGATTGCATGATTGATATTTGTATAGAAGAGAGAAAAATAGTCATAATTACAATATGTAATTGATTAAACGAAAAAGCACAAAAGCTTTTAAAACAATAAAGAAATTGATAAAATTATAAGGGACATGAAGGCATGACATATGTATTTGGTGCATATTTTAAATCACAATAAGGTGTGCTTAATCATACCCCTCATAATACAATTATGACTATCCCGTCAATTAGCTTGGTATTTGTAGATAAAATATAATAAGTGGAGTACTCCATAGAACATAAAACGACTTAATTAAATTTTGGGTAGATGATAGAAAATTAATATTATTAATAGTATTAATGATATATTTATTGCTTTAGATAAAATTAACAATTTTTGTGATAAAAAATTTGACAATGTTTTTGGAATAGGAAAATCTGACAAAGTGGCATGCCTAAAAAATTTGACAATGTTTTTGTGATTCTGTTTCTGCTTTTTTAAAAAAAAAATAGAAGCAGAATCAGAATCAGTTTTCAGAAGGTGATTTCCCCCAACTTCTTAAAAAACTGATTCTAGGAGTAAATTAGAGCAACAAAATCACTTGTACACTTTCACTCAAACACTCCAATTTCCGTTGTTCCTCCTCGAAGGAGAAGTAGTTTTAAGAATCAAATACAAACACCCCTAAATTACTTAAATTAAGTTTTAGCTCCTCAAAAAGTGTTACGGAGTAATTTACGGAAAGCAATCACTCCAAATTTGGCAATTAACACACAAAACTCACTTTCTCTGCCCCCTTCTATGAGTTCTATCCGAACAATTAACCTTCCCAGTCCCAATCCAGAACACGTCCCTCATCAAAAGAAGCTGCAATCGGACGGAAAATGTTACGGAGAGTTTTAATCACAATCAGTGCACGTATTGTTAGATGATAATCGATTGATAGGCTGAAAACATGAAATTGACAAAGACACAAAGTTCATGTATATTTACATGCGTTGAACGCAGAAATGTCTTGTCTGTGAATATATATATAGAAAATCAATAAGCAATGTGGAATTCATCACTTTCAGGTTTTCACCATACATAGAGATAAGCATTCATGTGCGCACTGATTTATTAGATTAGGGGAGGAAGAGGTAGCTGCGGTGAAATTGGAATCCAATTTGTTGGTTCCGGAAGAGCGCCAGCGGAGACGGCGCATAAGGTGGTGGTGCTACAATTTTATTTAGGGTTGTCGGTGCGGAGGTTTGGAATCGGACTAGGCTACGGTTGTAGTTGGTAGGGATCGTGGCGGTTGAGAAGGGAGGAAGATGCAGCTGCACTTCTCACCTAGCATGAGAAGTATAACGATATCGAGCAGCAGCGATGGAGGATTTGGTGATTTGATGAAGATCAAGCTCGCAGCTCGCCACATCTCATACCGAACGCTCTTTCACACCATCCTTATCTTGGCTTTCTTGTTGCCTTTTGTCTTCATTCTCACAGCTGTTGTTACCCTTGAAGGTGTCAACAAGTGCTCATCGCTTGGTACTTTACTTTTTCCTCTGTTTGCAGTTATTGCATCAAACTTCGTGATATGTTTACTCTGTTTGATGTTGTTTGAGGTCAGATTCTTCTAACTAATTTTTCATGAGGTAAAGAGTTTGGTTGGCCAATGAACATTATATTATTCCACACTGTTTCTGTGATAACGGGTGAAGGGGTTGAGGAGAGGGGGTACATGTGAATGTTTATTGGTGCTTCATAAGTATGAATCCAACACAAGACATATAATCATGAATTAGAAATTATGAACGCAGGGCAAACTTTCATACATAATTAAGTATTTTGGGTTAACAGCTACAACAAATTACAATTAACAACAGTAGGGGATATGTATACATTGTCAAGGCCTATTTCATAATTCTAGTGTAATGTATGGATATGCTGCGTATCAAATAAAAGAGTTCTATTTGTTGTGAATTACCTTTATCAATAATTTTCTAATGTTTGTATTCTGAATCAGGCATGCTAGCCTACTAGGCTATGCTTTTTATATATTTTAAGCATGGTGTAATACCTCAAAGTGACTATAGGATAGTTGTTACTTGTTTTGCTTAAATCTGTTCTTATGTCTTGCATAACATTTTCTCCGAATTACATTTCTTTGGTTTCTCTCATGCTTCAAAATCTGAGAGGAGACTTTACTTTTGAAGATGTGATAAAGATATGTGTTAAACCAGCGTTAAAACTTTTTGGTTTTCCTTTTGGTTCTCCCTTCTGATAAATATAGTTCTTTGCTTTTCTATTTGGTTGTTTCTTATGTTGCTGCAAAGTATTAGTAATGCCAAACTCATATCTCTCGGGGTTTTCAGATTGTTTAGGCAGAAGACTGGGCCCAAAGCTTCTTGGAAGAACTGATGATTCAGGGGTAGTTTATAGTTTTCATTTGCATTTATTACCTTTTCCCGTGAAGACACTATTTGCAAAGTGGCTTTACTATTAGTCGTTTTCTGTAATCTGAAGCTGTCTCATTGCTCCTGTCCCACCAGAGGCTGCTTAAGGATTTCATTAAGATACTCAATCAAGTGAGATCTGAGGATGTGCCAGCAGATTTGAAGCTCCCAGATTCTTTTACTCAACTCGTCTCTGAAATGAAAAACAATAAACACAGCACAAAAGAATTTGTACTTATATTGAAGGGAATGGTATGAACGTGTGTCATTTTTTTTTATCTACCTACTCTCCGGAGTGCAAATTTTTACCACAGAGTATTTCATAGTTTCAATCTCCCTCATCCCCACCCCACCCCACCCTCACCACACTCTCTCAATAGCCACTTGCCTGGACATGATTCTTTATTTTTACCAAGTGTGTGGTTCGAGGATGAGTGCAGATGAATGGGGACATTACTCTTTGCACATTATATTTTAGTTTTAGGCTTTTAGCTACAAAATGCAGAACACAGTTTTACTATTTCACGATACTGAATAGATCAATTATAATGCCTTATCTTCTTATGGGCTGTCATGTTAGTGCACAGTGAGTCAAATCAACCAATTGCAGCTCACTGATGTCCTTTAATCTTTTGGTATAGTTAAGTGAAAAGCTGGTACTTCCCATATCACATGAAATGAATGCCGCAATATGTTACGTAGTATCTTATTTGTTAATTTTAATACAGCAATTCCCAAATTTAATTTTTGCTGATTTTATTCTCATTTGCAGATGGAGAGATCTCAAAGGGAGATTAGAGAATCTAAATTTGCAGAGTTGATGAATAAACACTTTGCTGCAAGTTCAATCCCAAAGGGCATTCATTGTCTCTCACTCCGGTTAACTGATGAGTATTCATCCAATGCTAATGCACGTAAACAATTGCCTTCACCAGAGCTACTCCCTTTGCTCTCTGACAACTCCCTACACCATTTTGTATTGTCAACTGATAACATCCTAGCTGCTTCCGTGGTGGTCAATTCTGCTGTCCAGTCATCTCTTAAACCTGAAAAGATTGTTTGTCATGTCATTACTGACAAGAAGACTTATCCCGGGATGCATTCATGGTTTGCTCTAAATCCCGTCTCTCCTGCTACTGTTGAAGTAAAAGGTGTTCACCAGTTTGACTGGTTGACAAGAGAGAATATTCCAGTGCTTGAAGCTGTGGAGAGTCATAGTGTTATACGTAATTATTACCATGGGAATCATGTTGCAGGAGCCAATCTTAGTGATATTACTCCACGCTCTTTTGCCTCGAAATTGCAGACTAGAAGTCCGAAATATATATCCTTACTCAACCATCTTCGCATATATTTGCCTGAGGTATGCAGTTTTATGACAAAACTGACTACCTTTAATTTCTTTGAAGTGACTGCTTCCAAAGTAGAGGCTAAAGAGCAATTTTTTCATATCCTTTTCATAGTTCAACTTATTTAATACTTCATTTACTTCTTTACAATGAGAAAGCTAATAGTCATTTATCCTTGTATCTTGCAGCTTTTCCCAAATCTGGATAAAGTTGTTTTCTTAGATGATGATGTTGTAATTCAGCGTGATTTATCTCCACTCTGGGACATTGAACTTAAAGGAAAGGTTAATGGTGCTGTTGAGACCTGCAAAGGTGAAGATGCATGCGTTATGTCAAAGCGATTCAGAAATTACTTCAACTTTTCTCATCCTCTAATAGCAAAGAACTTGAGCCCTGATGATTGTGCATGGGCTTATGGAATGAATATCTTTGACTTGTCTGCATGGAGAAAGACTAATATAAGAGAAACTTACCACAAATGGGTCAAAGAGGTAAATGTTATTACTCCCTACACGGCTACACCCCTAAATATAAGGAACACTTAACCTTGATGCATTTTTAATGAAAAGAGGTAAAACTGTAAAGGGTTATCTGTTTTTGGAATCTGTCATGTAAATGACCCTTAGAGTCCCACATTCCCACGGCTTCAAATATGTTCCAGTTTGATATGCATAAAATGAGATGAGCATTTGCAATGGGTTTAGAAAGCGGATCCTGAGGAGTTTTGATATTTGTTTTTTGTGTGGTAGGGCACTAGTTATGTGTATAGGGGTATGGATATGAATTAACTTTATTGGCTCATTTTTTGTGCCTGCCTGTCAGCTGGCATTTCCTTTTCAAATTAAAAAATGCAGGTTTTAGGAAACTCAGCGAATCTTATATTTTTCTAATAGAGCATATCACACACTTCAATATGAATAGTTTCAATTGTGCATATCTTATTTGTGACATATGAGAGTTTTATCATTCTGGACTAATAATTATGGTGACGTTACTCCATAAATTTAAAATCTTGAATGCCTATAATTGAGAAAACAGAAATGGTGAACTGCAAATTTACAAAGTGTTATCTTCTTATACTTATGAGCCAACCAAATTAGCTTTCATCTGAAAGTATCTCAGGATCAGTTAGAATTGACAGTATTTATGCGTGTATATGTATGTATACAGAGGGAGAGAGAGTGAGCAAGGTCGAATATACAATATAGAGCTAATGGGGCAGATTTTTTTGTTAGTGTAGGTCTCTGCCTTTTCTATTCAAAAAAATATTTTCATTAGCAATTTAGCATATACATGACATTTAGATGTACCACTCTAAATTTACACAATGAGAAAAGTAACTTAAATTTTATAATCGAAGTGCTTTAGAAAAAAGTATTGGTAAATTAAAGCCTAAGTACATCCAAATTTAAGGAAAATTTATTTGATTATAAAAACATGGTTAATAGTTTTTCAATATATTTGAAGATAAAGGGTGTAACACGTACACACGTCCACCTATATATTTTAAAAGTCTTTTGCCTTCTTTAACTACATGAGTCTTATTAGAATAAAGAATCCAATTCTTGAATGTTGTAATTCATCGTACATTGTCTTAGAAAGTGGAACATACAACCAATTAAAGCTTGATGAGTACCGTACTGACTGGTGTCCGAAGCCAGACACTAATAATGGAATGACATTATATGTGAGACATTAAAATGGAATGACATAGTATGAAGCCGTATAACATTTCAATCACCCTATATTCGTTCTTAGAAACAGCATTCTATTTATGTCTAGATATTGATAAATGATAATCCATCCAAAATCTATTGAAACTGGCCCTCAGTGGATGAGCTTAGTATGTCTTTAAACATAGATGCATTATGCCTTTTTCATTTTACGTTGAGTTTAAGTTTTCCCCTGTGCATTTATTTCAAGGGTTATCATAATAACATCCAAGCAGTTAGTCAATCTTTTAAACTCTCTTTCTCTTTCTTTTGCTTTTGAAATTGTAGAATCTGAATTCAAACTTGACAATGTGGAAGCTTGGAACACTCCCACCTGCTTTGATTGCATTCAAGAACTACATTCACCCAATTGACTCCTCTTGGCACATGCTTGGTTTAGGCTACCAGAGCAAGACAAACGTGGAGAATGTTAAGAAAGCTGCTGTAATTCATTACAATGGGCAGTCAAAGCCATGGTTGGAGATAGGATTTGAACATCTCCGACCATTTTGGACCAAATATGTGAACAATTCCAATGACTTCATTAGGAATTGCCACATCCTGGAGTAGACTGAATCTCAAGATAGCAGAGAAGTATTGAAAGTCATCATCATATATCTTGAGCCCACTTTTTTTGGACGCAAGATAGTTTTGTCAACTCTCTGATCTCTTTTTTCAATGAGAATGGAGCGTTATTCTTTGAGTGTTGTATTATATCCCGTCCATGTCTATTTGTTTAATTGGGTAAAATATTGTTTTCGCATTTTACCTTTTACAGCAGCTTATGGTTCTACCCGCTAGGAGGGGAACGTGAGGCATTGAAGTAAGGCTCCTGACCCTCCCCTCCCCAAAAAGCTGATGGAGGTTATTCTTTAACTTGGTTTTATTTTTAAATGTTGGCTATGGTTTCGGTCAGCATTTCTCCTCACTGTAATTGTAGTCATCAGTATGATATAATCATATAATTGTAGGTTGTGGGAACACGAAATACAGGTATATTGACCATGAATACTGGTTGAGATGATCTTTTTGTTGGGAATGCTGAGTGCTTATGAGGATCATGTTGTGAAACACTTGTACTCTTTAGATATGTCTGTTGGGAATCATCATAGATGGTATACTGTATATTGCTTAACTGTTCAGCCCGCTTGGAATTTGCATCATCTGTTTGGCAGTGCTTGGTCAATTCTGACCATCTGATGGTGTGGGGTGCCTTGTTGATCCAACAGTTTCTGACTGTGGAGTACTCTTCCTAGTGGGCGACGTCATCAACTTCATAGTTCCCCTTCTCAATTACTCATGAGTTCATCGACGTATGGTCTTCCATTACTGCCGAACTAAACTCTTTCTATATACGGTTTCTATGCCCATATGAAAACATTCAATAGCAAGCATGGGTATGTAAACTTATTCTATATATATTTTGTTGGTCATTTACACTAAAAGTAGGGATGGACTCGGTTCGGGCCTTGAACCGGCCGGGCCTCGGTTCAAGGAAGGGCAGGCCCGGAACCGGCCCGGGTAACCCCGGATCCGGTTCGAGCCGGGTCACCCGCCCGGTTCACGGGCCGGGCCGCCCGCCGGGCCGGCCTTTTATTTTTTATTTTTAAAATTATATATTATATTATTATAATAATTCTTATTAAAAACAAAATTCAAGTGCATTTATTTGAAATAGGAAGTACATTTGAGAATTGAGAAAAAAATAACAACATGAATTACATTTTCTAATAAATATCAATTGGGATTTCCGCCACCGTTGGTTGTTGTTTTGCCTTTGTCACATGACTTCATATGTTTTATTGGCATCCCGACTCCTTGTGAACGCCCCAAGCAACACTCTTTTTTGCACCACTTGCAAGTTGCCCACCACAGTCCGGTCTTCAGATTCTTCCACTTATCAAAATTGTTTTGCATAAAAGAAGAATTACTTTCCATCTTTAAAATGGTAGATGTATAAATAGAAATGTAGGATAATAAGAGAAGATGAAGATGGAGAAGAGTTGGAGAAGAGGTGTAGAAAAATGGTAGAAAGTAGATGTATTTATAGATTTTTTTGAACCCCACCCCCACACCACCACCCTCAGGACCCCCCTGCCCCCCACCCTAAGCCCCAATGGCTATATAGCCGTTTGGGAGCTATGTTGTAATTTTTTTTTTTTTGAAAATTATACATTTTGTAAAATAAGTTAATTAATTTAATGAATTAAGTAAGTAAAACTATTTTTACTTAGAAAAGTAGTTTGATTTATAATTTACAAATGTTACAAAATAAGTGTATAAGTATTTAAACAAATTACATATTGAAGTGGTAACTTGTAAGTTTGTAACCAATTAATTAATTTACATATTAATATTACATATTTTAATTTAAAAACAGCCTTTAGATTTTACAAAAATAATTTGAAGTTGTAAGTTATAAGTTTGTAACCAATTAATTAATTTGAGAAGTGTTACATATGAAAAAATAAACGCATATTTATTTTTAATATGAAGTACAAGTTTACAAATTAATTTTATTGAATTGATTATTGAATATTTTTTTTTGAGAATTATTGAATTGATGTACACAATAATATAATATAATTCAAGTATATTTATTTCAAATAAGAAGTACAATTGAGAATTAGGATGAAATTAAAAAATGTAATACATTTTGTGATAAAAAATCAATCGGAATCTCCGCCTTCGAAGGTTGTTTCCTCCATAAAGTGGCGGGTGGGAGCGATGGTCATTTCTTGAGTTCTTCGTTGGGCCTTCAACCAATCGTGGAAACAAACTAGCGTCTCAAGAGAGCTCGGGCTCAACCTCGTTCTATAATCGGGAACGTTCTTTCATTTTCCTTCCATCACTTAAGAACGTCAAAGTCATCCCCAACTTCATAATCAACATCCAATGTTAGATACAAAGAAAGCTCGTTAACTGAGCTTTGTTCAGTAGCGGGAGTTGCTCTACTTTTTTCAAAAGAGAACCAAATGCAGATTTTAAAAGTGATATTCCTTTAGATGAAGAAGATGTTCGTGTCGGGGGAGGGGGTGCATTACCATACTGTGTATGAAATTCATTATACAATTGATGAAATAAATTACTAACCTCGTTGTATTCTTGTTTAGGGTCGATGGGATTATCATCGAACTCTTGAGTTGGAAAACAAGAAGCATAATAGTAATCTATACAACTTGCCAACGAGGCAAGTTTATAACAAAGATCAAGAACAAATGCAATACCATATATATGCGGAATATGTGAATAATATTTTAAAAACTTTTGTTTCATGAAATCACAAAAATAACTAACGTAAGCGGCATCAGAAAATTATAAAAATGCGCCGGCGAGATTAACAGCTTCAACAAAAAATTCGTTTGCGGTAGGATTATAAACATGACTAAAAGTTTGAGTTGCGTTATTAAAACATACCAAATCATTAACAATTTTTCACAAGTGTCGATGTCAGCCGGGTTTATAATGTAGTTACAAGTTTGTCTTAAAAAAGCAGGAAAATGATTTTTATATCTAATAAGTACTTGAATTAAGTTATAAGTACTATTCCAATGAATAGACAAATCTTTAGGAAAAGCACAATAATTGACACGTCTATCCTTCAAATATTGCCGTCATTGCATTTTTAGTGGAGTGCTAGCCCAAATCATTTTAATTCCCCCCTTCACTATCTCCAAAGCATCTCCTAATGCCGCTAACCCATCATGTACACACAAATTTAAAATATGACATACACAACGTTGATGAAAAAACCTACCCATCAATGTAGAAGCACTACACAATTCACGCAATCTAGGTATAGCAGCAGTATTATTACTTACTAGCATTATCAAAACCTTTAGCAAACACCTTATCACGCAAATTATACTCAATTAAAATACGCTCAATGAGAATATAAATTGTTGAGGTTTATTCCTTCAACCCTCGGGTCCAACACATAAGCCCAAGAGTTTCGAGTGGAGTGTGTATGAATAACTAGGCCAACTAACAAGTGAGATGGATTAAGAAACAATAAGTAGCGAGTAAGTGATTAGGTATTATTAATCTGTTAATAACTCCCCAATACAATACTTTTTGCTAAAGGCTCGTCGACCGTTCGTCTTACCAGGTAGTAGAAGTGCTGCGAGTAAGAAGGCTATAAGCTAGAGTGCTAAGAATAGAAAGTTGCTAACCCTTTACAATGAAATAAATGCTGCTATTTATACTACCAATGGGCAGTTGGCTATACTGACGTGGAGGATTGTGAATGGCTGGTGCTCCAACCACCAAATCTTCAGCATTAAATGCGCTTCCTGCCAGGATCTGGGTTCGTCCAGCTGAGGGAGGTGAGTTGCTCCTGGTGATATCGCAAAGGGCATCGGGCCGTTCGTATCCTGGCCCTTGGATGATTTGCCATGTGGACTGGGTTGCCTCCAGTGGTTATGGGCTTGATCCGGCGACGTTCATCGTCATCCTTGTGGCCTGTGGGCCTGATTTACTGCCAACTTGTGCGGATGTTCGTCGGGATGGGCTGATAAGCCAAGGTCTCTGTTACGACGTTCGTCTTTGCCAATTCCCCTGTTGACTTAGCCCACCCAGAAACCTGCCTGGACGTTCGTCTGAAATGGGGGGTAAATGGGCTGGCCCCTGTTTGGTCCATTAACCCAACACAAGTCCCCCACTTTTGATGTTCTGAGCATGCACAAGACATAAAGAAGTATAATGCTCCCCATGGGTAAGAAGCTCATGGCGTGGCACTTGTGTTTGTCGCGTTAGGGAAGGAGGACGTTCCTCCCCGCGACGTGTCTCATTTTGTGGCGGTTCAGGAATCGAGGTGACGACTTCCGCATAACCGGTACATTTTCCAAGGTGAGATCATCATTACATTCCCATTTCACGCGCAGCGCGTGCCCTTGGGTACGATCCTCGACACGCGGTGTCTTTCTATTGGCTTCCGAATCGGTGCCTCTTCTATAAATACCAGGATTTCTCTTAGGCTTAGGGTTTCCAACTCCTGCTTTCTCGCTCTAGGATCTCTGCTGCTCTGTGCTCAGTTCGTCCTCGAGGTCCCTAGTTTGCCTCCGTCTCAAGGTATTTAAGGCTTTCTTTCCCCTTTTGTAAATCTTTTTTCGATCTTCCCCATGGCTTCTATGGAAATCTCCTCGAGTTCTGGTTCGGGTTCCTCTTTCGGCTCCTCCTCTGGCTCTGAGTCCAGTTCTCGTTCCTCTGAGGGTGCCAGTACCTCCGGCCGCTCCGGCCTTCCGTCCGTCGCGGGAATGATTGTGCAAGATAATGCTCCCGAAAGCTCTACCTCCGCGAGCACCTCCTCGGCAGACGCAATCCAGGGTGACGCGGCCCCCGGGGGAGGTGGAAATGATGCCCCCCTAAAGAGGAGCAATCCAGATGGCCGTGGAAGATGCGGCCGCTGATGACGATCATCCAGCCGACTACGACTCGGGCGTCGAGGCCGTTGATGGTTTCGACGTAGAGGTGTTCGATCTAGGTCTCACGGTTGATGTGGAGCGTCATCTTTGTCCAATAAAGAATGCGATTGGTCATGAGCAATTCTTCTCGGACCCGACCCTTGAAGTGCTCCGGATCTACTTCCCTGACCCGCATAGCTACAGCCTCCGAGGCGCGACCCATGTGATGAGGAGACGTCCGGGGATGGTTATGGTGCATTTTGATTCCATCAGGGCCGGACTGTGATTCCCACTCCATCCCTTTTACATTGAATTTTTTAACTGCTTCCAAGTGGCCCCAGCGCAGTTCATGCCCAACTCCTACCGCTTTATCTCCTCGTTCCTTGTCCGTTGTAAGGGCGTTGGTGTCACCGCAACCCTGGAATTGTTCGATTTCTTCTTTCGGATCACTCCCCAGAACTTAGATGGATATCTGAGCGTCGCCGCTCGTCCGAAACGGAGGCTCTTCGAGGGAGTGCCGACGTCCATCCACGAATGGAAAAACAAATATTTCTTTGTTCGCTATGCGGACGCTCGTCTGCCGATCCGCTGGAATGGGTATCCTCCGAAGATCGGTTCTCCCAAATTGTCCGACGAGCTGGAGTCGGAAGCCAAGAAGTTGTTAGATGTCGGAATACAAGATGTGGAGGACCTTATTACTTTCGAGAAGCTCGCCGAAGCGGGGATAGGTACCGCCTGAATCTCTGGACTCCCCTTTCCCTTACGTTCGTCCCTGGGATCCGGGCGGTCCTGTTCTCCGAGGTGAGTACTTTAAGAGCCACGCCGCCCGGTGCTAACTCCTTGTGTTTTATCGTTTCAGGTCTTCCTCCAACCGACACTCAGATGAATCACACCAAGCTAATGAAGACTAGGAAAGACAAGGGTGCGGCCGCCGACGCCGCTCTGACTAAGGCCAAGGCCATCCAGGCCGCTGACTCAAATTCCTCCGCCTCTCAGGCCGATCGACGTACGGTCGAAGCGGAGCAGCACC